GTGACCAATGTACGTGTTGCCATCCCAAGATGGCGGGGTATTGATTAAAGTTTCTTCCCGTGGCGGGGGTTTTTAAATCTTGATGTTAGCAGTGCTAAATGCAGCCAGCAAAAGCCGGAAGAGTTTGGGAGAAGGGTCATTGAGCATGGGAAAGATGTCAAGAGGGGAAGAGAGGGAATCTTTGTTATTGGATTTAATATGATTTACCAGGAACTTCATGTGGTTCTTTTGGAATGTATGCATTCAAAGATTATGTAATTTATGTCTTGTGAGGGATGTCCACAAGGACAAGTCGCAGAGGGAACCATATTTTTCCTAGTCAAAGTATGGTTAAGGTTGTAGTGGTTGCTGCATATTCCTTCGTGTGTCTTTTAATGTCTAAATCAGCGTTTCTACTAATAGCTCCTCTGCAGTTCCATTGTAGAACGCAGAGGCCCTTATGGTTGATGCGTGATCGGGTGAATGTAGTCGGGATCGATCGGAGCCATGTTTTCAGACTGAAGTTGGAGTAGATCTATTGGATGTGTGGTGTCTACGGATGAAAATTCGTGTTGATGAGATCTCTTGAGCATATTCTGGAAGGGAGTAATTATGTCGGTTTATCTTTTTTAATTGATTCATGACCCAGAGGAGAGTTTCGCGTGTGAAACTATCCTCCCCTTGTGGATTGTTAAGGGATGTGAAGACAAGCAGCCTTTCTGTATGAATGTTTTCTGTACGACCGTTAGGTGCCAAAAGGAATTCTGAGTATTCTTTAAAGAAGTGGCCGGAGTTCATGCTTGTTTTGTAATGTGCGGGTCCTGTTCCAAACCTATGTCTTTCTTTATCTGATTGACTTGTTCTGAGGGGGGCTTTGTATATGTGATGGATAGGGGGTTCGAAAGAAGATTGAATGTTAGTGCGTTGGGCTCTTGGAATTAAGGGAGGGAGTGGTGCGTATGATAGCGAGCTGGGTGTTCGCATGCTCAGAGTATCATTATGTTGTGTCGAGGTGGAGATTTGTTGAATTTTTCGATGAGAGGGAAATTGAGTTAGACAAACCTTGT